TTATTATCCGATTTCATTCCTAAAGAATTCCTGAGAGAGAATTCTTTTGGCCAACAGTATATAACCATAAATAATTTAAAGACTCAGATAATAGTAATATAATAATATTACTGTAGCGCCATATGATTTTCAATCGAATTGTGCAGAGCACATTCTCTTTCATTGGACCAACCTAACCATTCCTAAACGAGCTTCAGGCATGTCCACCAAAAACCTTGAGCACCCATGAACACCCTTCGTTCAGACGATAATCTCGAGCACTCAGTTCAAACACTCTAGAACCCGGATTCGCAACCTGTAGGTCGCCACCCCCAAGGGTCAGAGATCCCCTCAAGGGCTGCAAAGTATTTTCTGCGAGAGTCGGCCTGCGGCTATTTTTAGAAAATTTCATCACTGACATTTCCAACATTCATTCGTTTCAATATAATTACACTGCAATATTCTGCTGACGGTCGTCAACACTAATTGTTAATAAGCGAAGAGAGCTGACTTGAAGAGTTTTCTTAAAAAAAACTGTTACTTAAATTGCTCGTAAGCTATTTTATTATTAAATTGAAATTTCGAAGATGAAGTAATTAACGGGGTCTGATGATATCGATTAAGGGTTGAAATGTTTTTCAAACTCACCCACGCAGTTAAACAGTTTGTATATTTCCTTCGATCTCAATATTAAGCGAATTCTCATTTCAACGTTGCATCGCGGGAATTGAATAGAATTCGAAAAATAATATCATGCAATTTATACTGTTTTAATTATCTCCTACGGCGTGGGCGTAAATTAATGTCCCTCGTCTGTTTTTTTCTTAAATTTCCGCCTACGGGCGGACTGTTAATTATAAAATAGCATCCCTTTCGCTGTTTCTACTTCGAAGAAGATCGTGAAACGCTACTTGTCAATCGATCGCTCGAGTATTATTTCCTTCAGTACCGATGATATTACATCCAGATGAGAATCCATTCGATATTAAAACTAAAGAGGGTATTGCGTAAAAATGATATTGAATAATCGATGCGATACTTTACAGATTCGATATATACCGAGCGATTCATGGGCCTGCCCTCGAACAATCTGCACGGCTACGAGCAAGGCCAACTACTGAACAAAGTGGATAACATTAAAACGA